TATAAATAAAGCTATACCTAGACACATTGAAAAAGTGCAGAAAATTAAAGAAAAAAGTTTGAATAGCTAGGGATGGTGGGGTTCATTATAGTCAAGGGATCCACAATTAGATTGACATTTGACTTCAACATAAGCAGTGGCGGACAGAATGCAGTGGAATTCTATCTTGGAATAGATAAGAACTACCACTTTAGAATTCTAGCACCTGTGAAAATGTCTTTCAACAAAGAAGATGAAAGGATGGGTCTTAATAACAAAAATTGATGGAGTGTGTCACTATTAGGCCTGCACTAAAAAATGTAAATGTAGTTCTTCAGGCAGAAGGAAAATGATCCAGATAGAAACCGAGATGTACGGGTAGAAATAGTTACTCAGAGTCAGAGCATCAGAAGCCATGTTCTGACAGCAGACTTTCTCCCTCAGACTTACGGCCTTGTGAGGTGTTTCCTATGACTAACTGGCAGAGGGAAAAGAACTAAGGCTTGGTTCACAAATGGGCTGGGAGATGTGCTGGTGCTAGCTGAAAACGGACTGCCGCTGCGTTACAGTTGCCGTCACGGTATCCCCACGTGCCGCTGCTAAGTGCTGGCAGTAAACTTGGCACTGCATTCAGTCACCAATATCTGATGGAGGGAGAAGTAACCTAAGGTTCAAATGCACACTAACTACCCAGCAGTAGCACAGGCTGAATAGTTTGTCCGGGACCTGAAACAATAAGGTTGGAGGATTAAGGACAAGCATGTCAGGGAATAGATCTGTTAATGGGGCCATGGGAGTGGGCACAGAGCATTCAGGCCTTTTTCTTCTCACCTAGTGCCCAGCAGAGAGCGCCCGCTCTTAAGAAGGCTCTCACCTACTTGGGATCTCATCTACAGGGGCAGATGACTTACCTAATGAACGTCTGCCAGCTTCCCTCTCTGGCCCCCTAATGCTGGCTCAGTATGTCCATGAACAGGGTGGCCATAGTCACAGAGGTGGAGACTATTCATGGGCCTAACAACATGGGCTGCTCCCTATCAAGGCTGGTCCACTTATGGCCGCTGTTGAATGCCCAGTCTGTCAGCTACAGAGGTGGGTGTCATACCCTCACCCCACCCCATGCCTCCAAGCAGGAGAGCAAATACATCAGACACCTTCCAGGCTTAAGTGGGCAATGATCCGCCCTTGCTAAGTATATTCTTTCTCTACATATGGATTGGCCTTCTTTACTCACAGTACCTTCTCCAGTACCACCATCAGTGTACCTCAGTGTTCCTGATCCATCAACATGGCATACTGTATAACGTCATCTTTAGGCTAAGTGGCTGAAAGGAGGTGCAATGACAGTTTAATGGCTATAGAGGTTACTGAACTTACATATACCTCCTTAGAAGGAGCTGGTCGAATTGAATGCTTGAATGGCTTTATCAATGGTTTAGCCAAGATGTTAGTTTGGGAAGGCCTTGCAGAGCTGGGGAGCTGTACTCCAGAATAAAATATTTTCTAAACCAACATCCAGCATATGGAACCATGTCCCTAATAACTAGAACTCATATTCCAGTAACCATGAAATGGGAATAGGTTTAACTTTTCTCATCATCACTCCCAGAGTTCCAGTTTTGGTATTTAGACTTCCTGTCCTCGCAGTCTGAGGCTCTGTTCAGTTTGAGGGAATATTTCTACTAGAGTTCTGGTTAAACTTCTATTGAGCTTGAAGCCTCAACTACCACCTGGTCTCTTTGGCTTTTTCATGTCAGTGCACTAGCAGGTAAAATGTGTATCTCTGCTGATCAGCTTACTTGACCCTGGTTACCATGATGAGCTAGGACTGTTGCTGCACAGTGCAGGCAGAGAGGAACACACCAGGAACCCAGCGGATTAATCAGCATGTCTGGATTTTTCCATGCTCAGTGGTAATACTGTATGGGCAAAGGAAGCAACTAGCCTGACAAGGACAAGACATAGAACAGTTCAGGCTCTTTGGGAGTAAAGATCTAGTTTACCCGCTATGCAAGCAACCTATATTAGTTGAAAGGGTAGATAAGAATAAGAAAAATCTACGAGTGGTGGAGGAAGAGGAGATGAATATCAAATACAACCTTAGGGTCAGCTGTGACATTAGAGATTATAGCTTGTTTTACTCATTCTCAAGCCATAAATCCCACCAGAAATTGCAGCTGGCTACTACCTCGAAGGGGAATATATAAATGACCGAATTCACACCTTCTATTTCTAGGAAGAAGTGAAAGCATCTTGTTTTTACAGAAAAGCTTACATATTGTGGTGTGAGAGCTGGATATAATGGGTGGCACTGGTAGATATGCATGGTGTAAGGAGTGAAATATATTGAACACTTTGTATACACCACTCTGGGTCTTATCATCGTCATGTGTTCCCTGGACTTTTGTCCATTTGTTTCATTCCAGCCACTGCTGTGGCAACGGCTCTGTGTGGGGTCTGCTCAAATTCATGTGGGCTGGGCAGTTCCACACAGTCCTTCACCTCATGCCCAAAAGGCTCATCTCTACGTCCCCACTCCAGGCTTCCTTGTTGACCCTGTCTTAAGGTCCTGTAGAACCTACTTGGTACTCATGTATGGGCAACCGAGAAATAGGACAAGTTAACACTTAAGGCAGTCAGCCTTTATCAACAGGACATGGAAGCTAGAAGATAAATTCGCCTCGCCCTATCCCTACTCCAATCAGGTTTTTATAATATGACACCGTTCATGTGCACTTCTACAAGATGCTGCCATGCTGCTAAGCATTCAGTCACACTTGTTACAAAATGGTGATCAGCTTGGTAAAACACCATTACATTGGCTTGCCTTTCTTCTGTACATTACTTCACCTTTTCCTCACTCCTGCTTTCCTGAATTACAATCCTTAATTAAGTACCAGTAAATAAGCTTTTCACTCAGGCTCGCCTTTCAGAGGAACCCAGGCAAAAATAATCAGTTTCATTTCTCAAGCTTTTACTCTAGAATGTTCTTCTATGCAGGTAGGGACTGTGCCTTTCTGGTTTCTGCCCTTTTTCCCCAGTGAAATTTGGCTTGTGTAGCAAAAAGTTAAATATTAGTTGTTCAACATAAGCACAAGTTGAACAAATATTAATGTTGCATTAACTCTATTGATGTAATTTAAAA